GCGTTTTCATGATGAGTGGATGCGATATTCGTGTTCTACGGGTCAAATTACCCCTCTAGGCAAGTTTCTAGCCGGTTTCACCTTCTTTGAAAGAATTCGATAAAAATCCAGCCCTTTCTCGACAGAGTGGGGCAGTAAAGGGTAAATAGTGCCCATTATTCCTTCTGAGCTGGTACTGTTCAAATTGGTGCTGCCCTTCCTTTTAGATAACTCCTTGCATATAGGGTCGTCTAACTTTTCCGATATGTCCTGTAACTCCCAATACGAATATTGGGTTGCACTCGGAGTGGGTTACACTTCAAGCACCTGCACCAGTTCCTTTTCCTAGCGCTCTTACGGTAGGATAATAGAGGCAGCAAGATCGTGAAATAGAGCTAAAACCTCCTAAGGGAACCGAACTATCTTACAAGTCAGTCTATAGCGAATTCGGACAGCAGCTGCACCTTATTGGGGCCAAAATTGTGTGAAATTGCGTCAGCGCCAAAAAGAGTGTGTTACTGGAGTGGACTACGGGACTATTGGTGGAGTGGATATTTTCGCAAAATATTTTCATTTGATATTCGGGATTATAACATTCGAGTTGTACTCTTATTCATATGTAAATACCCTGAAAAAAGAAAAAAACGTAAGAGTTTGGACGGCTCAAAGGAGATACGACTCGTCCAAAATCTCAAAGTGCAATGCGAAAAGGAAGTGCATTTATAGGCATTTTTAAAATGAGCTTTACCACAGTGAAACAAATAAGAGGCCATGTGAAAAACTCAAAAGTCCCTCCCCAAAGAGTTTTCTCCCATAAGAGTGTTGAATACAACCACAGATGGAGAAGACAAAATACTGGCTTAAACCTAAATGACATCACCCCGAATCTACGTCACAAAATAAGGTCCTTTTATGGAAGACATTAATGCCAGTTCAGTGACTTCTATTCCGATTTCCCTTAACAATGACGAGTACCGGAACCATATGTGGGTGGATGGAGAGGGAGGAGAAAAACCACTTTTTAAGAAATACGACTGTCCTAAAGTAATCCCAGCACGGAACCAGGAGCTATCGTAAACGGGAAAAAGGGTAGCGAAGTTGTAGGAATGGAAGAGACTGATACCAGCATTCATAACCCTGCAAAAGCTCGGTGTGTGAATTGGACTGTTCCTTGAATAACGGCCCTTGTGTCGCACACACTCAATTAACGAAATGATGATGGAGATCGTTTTTCAGGTGAATCAACACACCAGATTTCCGTCAAAGAGATAATGGATTTCTTCTGCTAATTATCTTGCCTGAACGCTCAATTACCGACGAAGTCTAGCATGCAGATCCCGATTTTTCCCGGACTTCCAGTGGAATTGCTACAGTCGGATTGCACCAGCTATTCACCATGAATTCGAGGAAGACAGATGGACAAAGGGAAGCTGCTGACTGGAAGTGTCAAGGAGAGTAACTCTGGACTATGTTACAAGCAACCCCAGTCGGAAGGACCCCGTAATGGATGGCACAACCATCACTTTTGAAGGACCGCAGTGGTGACTACAGAGGTCATGAAACTCTGCTTTGGCGAGTGAGGTAGACATAATGCAGAGTGAGAAATCTAGCTGAGTGTCATAGGGCAAATTCAGAGCGGGACCCGATTCCAACGGTAATCCAGCTGTGGGTCCTGATCCGAGCAAGTGGACGAGATGCAACAAGGCCCTTTGGCTGTCCCTTGGAGCAGAAGGTGTTCTTGTCCAAGATCGTTTCCAAAGTGTCGCATATGTGTCGAGCTGTGTATACAAATAAGGTCATGACGTGGGATGTAATATGTAGCCCGTAAAGCTCTGCATCCACTGCATTTTATTCCACCATCACTCTAAGGTCACTGTATGAGCTGAGTCCAAACTTTGCTCGACTTAAACTCACTGCTCTGATGCGGAGCATATTTACCCTATCAATAAATCCAACAAAAATAGACGGTAACAAAAATAAGTATACTGCACAAAAATGTGAAGTAAAGAGGTCCTAAACAGAAGAAGCCGAAGCTCCGAAGAATACGCGAAACGAATCATTGGTAGAGGAAGACCAGAACACTTCAAAATTCCCAAGCTTGCTCAGTTGCAGTGAGGGTAAAACTCCAGCAAAAATAGGCGGTGTGGGAACCTTATCAAGCTATCTCTGCAGGCTACAAGTACTTCGAGACTTCTAGCAGGAAAATGTCAATATAGTAACAAGATACTCGAAAAATCTTTGCAACGACGGGCAAAAGTGCAAGTTCGGTAAACGTGGGACCAATTTATTTTGAACAACGGCACCATGGTGATTTGCAAGAATTTAACGAACTTGCACTTGGTATCAGGAAGACGTATCTTTTTGGAGCACGATTATGGTCGACCTCTTGGGATTCTAAGAGCTTCAAAGCACTCGGATCGAGTCGGTCCACTTGCTGGGCTTTCCGATCCATTAGTTTTGTTCCCTAGCTAGGGGACAGTATCACTTATGTCACGAAAATCTCCAACGTATCGCGGAAAAATGTCACAGTTGCACACCCCGGGAGACAGCTGTATTTGTGAAAGAGCCAAAGTTAAATGGTCCCAACACTCCTTTTACATTACCAGCACTCTCGACGACACAGGACTAGGTTGGTTGATCCTGCCATCCACCCAATGCCGAAGTTACCTACTGGGAACAAGTTTCCAGAAGAGATAGGCATAAGTGTAGCGTTGGCGTAGCAGAAACTGGGCAATAAAGCATAAATAAGATGCTTAGGACGCCCACTTTCGCCCACGGAAGGACATGGCGAGTCATCTGAAGCCTGTGAAACTTTCTTTGTGTGTAGGATAGTGAATGATTAATTTTTCATGATTGTGCATCAATTAAATGAAATTACCCTCCTAGAGGCCCCATTAGCGTCAATCGAACGCCACTGAATACTGTCTAACTGGATAAAAACAGACTAGCGAAAAAAGGTGTGTCCAACATACAACTCTGAAAGGTTATTGTGGTAAAGGTAAATCCCATACAGAACTAAACGCCATCGGGCGCAACGAGGCCTCTGTCGCTACGCTTCTGCTTCATTCGCTCTCTTCTGCGACTGTGGGAACATCCATTTCATCCCAAAATCTTGATCTTAAGCTTTTTAAGGGACCTATTAAGGGGCTGACGATAGGTTACTAAACAACAGCAAACAGTCCAATTGTCATAGGCTTTGGTTATTCGCGAACGGAAACGTCTTTTGAAAGGCTCTTTAGCAATACTCTCCTCAGGTGAAAAATAATAGTTTACAACATAAAATAATCATTAATCATGTTGGAAAAGAAAGGAACAGCTCACCGAAATTGAAAATCAGTCAGCCTAGACGACTATAAACAATCAGTACTCTGATAGCGGAAGTATAAACCTTGAAAGAGGCGAAAACTTCTGAAGACTTACCGACTTGATCACCATTTTGAGCGTTGAAGAAAGCCTTACTCAGCTTCCGCACTATAAAAAGCGATGACGTCAACAAATCTTGAGCGCCAGGCATATTGATTGCTGCCATTGATCGATCGCCTCTCTATTTAATCAATTTTTGGAAATTCGTGTCACATCGTAGGTCACATCAAACAGTACGCGACTGAAATGTCTGCATTGTGGCTGGTGGAATAGCGATCGCGACGATGACGATGAGGATGACGACATTAGAAGCAGGAGAAGACGGACAGAATGTCAGATAGAAGAAGAAGGGGACATGTAGAGGTCTTACTTCTCACTGACAAGAAATTAACGATTATCTAGGGCAAATTAAAATCGGTTGAAATGTGAAAGAACAAGCAGTATCGGCTGGGAATACCAAAGGAATCAATACCAATACAATATCAATACAACCCTATGTATGCTCTTACAAAGTCTCTAATCGATGAACCCCAAGAATTCCGCAATTGTCAGAGCTATGATAACTGTTTGTTATTTGTAGAATGGACGGAGGTGGTGTAGTGCCAAGTAGCGCATTACCTCACACGCATGGTCACAGGTTCAATCTCGGATCGATACCCACCTAGGCAAATCAAGCCTTCCATCCCTCCGGGGTCTCTTAATTGTTACCATACTCGTCTAGGAGTGTAAAAGCACTGACTTGTGCACTGGCTGGCCATCGCAAGTCATTGTATGGGGCACACATGCATTCAATACGTCATTACGATTCTGAATGGGAGCTGAGTTTGGGGCGCATCCCCCAGATGGGATTGATCGACGCCCAGAGACTCTTTATCCTTCATTTGTACAACAACTTTGCAATCATTCCTTAGACTCCGTCAACATGTATTAAGATTTTTTTGGTAAGGGAGTAATATGGAAAAGGTACTGGAATGGGCAATCGGTAAGTGAACGGGGCCCATGTTATAGGTATCGGGCTCCTCTAGCATTGAAATATTAGCTCCATAAAGTAAATCGTTTGTGATATAGATAGCATATATCGCGTCAGAAAAGTTAACCTTCCCAAAGAGATATTGCCACCTATTCATGGGAAGATTGTCTAAAGCTATAGCTGTATACTTCTTCACAACATGGAAAAAAATGAAAAATAGCATTTATGAAAGGATGAAGTAGTAACCTCACAGTCCTGCAACCCATCGAACATGTGATTTAGAGAGTAGCGTGCACTCCAAAATAGGATTGATCAGCGTCAAAAGCACATACATACCAGCGCAAACAAAAGGTTGTTAAATCACTTATCGCTCTGCATACAGCGCAATGACGGCATGGTCAAATTTAAGAAAGATATTGGTTGGTAATTTCATGAAGAATTGTTAGACTATAGTGTAGAAGCCTAGCGTTAGGAACGACTGGAGACATTACTTTGATGTCTCAAGGAACCTACTCGTTGATCATCGATTTCCCGATCATGGAAACTGGCGATCAACGGGATGGTAAGTGATACAAGTGATAATTCAGAAATATAGTTGTGTTCTAACTATGAAATTTGAACTAGGCCATATGGACGAGGGTTAAACGACAAATGCGGTTTCTGGGCGAGATTTCATTCGCTGCAGGGCAACGTGTGCTAGCTATAAGAGCGCATCAGCTGACTGCACTTTTGAGATCATTCAACCTTGGGATGTAGAGGAGCCTCTACAAAGCCGCTATACACGCACTTAATCGTAAGTACTGAATTGCAGTAGGGAATTGAACCTCGAATGCGTCCTAAACGGGCCGCTTTTCTACCCGGCAATGTCCGGAAGCCATAGATCTATACCAAAAGAAACCTGCGCAAGCTTTTCGATAGCGAAATTGAAAAGTGCCTAGCATTTCTTTATTCCAATACTGCAAGCCAACTACTACAGTACTCAGATGCCATCCGACTTCAAGGTTATGTCATATAAAAGATGCTTTTAGAGGCAAGAATTGTTTGGCGACAAGCTCTCAGGAGACAGGGAGATGCTGTCATAACTTCAAAGTTGAGGTTCAATGGGATTTGGACGTTTCATGAGTCCCTGACAGATAGGATTGGGTGAATCCTGGTTTCTGGATCATGACTTCTCCTGAACGGAAAATTTTGGAAGCCGAATCAATCGTTACCTTCACGATCATTTTCGACTTCATTATGAGAAAGTTCTCAAAACAGGGTTCAAATGAAAGTCTATGTAGATAGGTTCCCCAATCTGGAAAATAGAGAATATGAGAATTATTGACACAGAGTTGAAGCACCTAATTCCACTTAAACTAACATCAGTGACCGGTAAAAAGGATAGATTGAAGGGAAAGAAAGCATGAGTATGTTCGTGAAGAAGCATCCAACACAATCCGTAATTGCCTACGATGCGCAGGATGGAGTCCAAGATGCAATCGCTAATCGAAAGTGAGTCGTCCACGAATTTCACTAGGTTGCTATGAGTTTTCCCCGTGGTCACCGGCATAAATTAGCGCTCAACACGCTTCGAAGCAAAAAGCGTCAGTGTCGACTGCAATCCCTCCTCCGCATCGCGACGTGGGCCTTCCTTCATGGAGAGAGTTCGTTGGACCTGATGTCATTGTTCTGAGCCACCGGCGAAGAAGTTTGAGCTCCGGGGCGTCCAATAAGTGGGAGCGCAAAACTGGTGAATGACGTGTTCATCACTGGTTTCTGTTTCACCGCAGGCTTGGGCTTGCCGAGCTAGCGCTCTGCATGGACGAAATAATAGCCTCGTTCGATGCCTATTGAAAAAGAGCTCAAATTCCCCTACAGACTAATTCCAGTGCTTGGAGAAATGAACACCAGAGAGCGAAGCTTTCGCAAGGAGAAACACTTTATTGAATCGGAATCTCTGAGAATGCAGAAGGCGATTTTCATCTTAGATCTCAAGGAGAGTAAGGCTCTTAAATAGGTTATGACCACCCTTCCGAATCGAGCTTTCGATGGTCTTTAGAAGAACATCCTGATACAGGTTACGCGTGGGGCAAATCTCTCCACTAGTTCCGACCACACCCTTGGATTCGGCTAAAGTCACAGCCCCCCCCCCCTCTACCTTTACTTTTGGAAATGAGAAAAGTACGCACGCCTGAGTTGGTGAAATGGTCGAATGACTTGACATTCGGTATAAAGACGTCATCGCCCGTTCGACTTCCCCACTTCATCGTAGTTTTGCTGGTCCGGCCTACAGCTCTTCATCGCCTCACCTCACCCTACTGCCCGACACAACACGCCCTGACGTCGAAATGCTGCTGGATTCTATTCAATCAAAAATTTTTGGGGAGTCATCAGTCTAGCTTGCCAAAATAGCTCAACAATGGCCGAGATTAATCAGCCATTGCACGTCAGTTATCCAAAATAGAAACCACAGTAATCTGTTTTTTCATTGACTTTGAGGGAGCCCTCCATTCATCACCTCAAGGGCAATTCCAATTTACTTTATATTTGTATCATACGAAAGGTAAAGGATAAAGTCTTTGGCTGTGATGAATTCCGTATCTGGGATGCGCCCCGCACTCGAATTTTATTCAGAATCGTGATGACGTTTTGAATGCGTATGTGGTCTATACATTGACTAACGCTGGTCAGCCGTGAAAGCCAAAGCTTTCCCCCAGTTCCCCCATCTCCCCGAGTCCCAAGCCTTTAGGATGTGCCATGTATATGACTCGGTAGACTCTTAGGTGTGAATGACCCAACCTTTTAAAATTATGAAGCCTTCCTGTCCAGATTTATGAGTGGGTTCCGTTCAGTTACAACACTGAATATACAAGATTGAATTGGCAATATGAGAAAACAGAACAGCGTGGTCTATAAAAAATTTGTTTACGCTTCAGGCTCGTTGACAACCTACAATTGATTGGTAATGCTAGTCAACTCTAAACATACCCCATTCAGGTACGTGATCCGACAATTACCGCCCTTAAGACGAAAAAGCCCACCTAACGTATATCTATCCCCTTCTTTTAGCCAATTCCAGATTTCAGCAAGATACCAGAACCAGGTTCCTTGAGAAATAGGAATTTTCATAGCTGACCGAGTTCATCGTGCTTGTAGAGGTTAGCCAATACAGAAGTTAGTATTTTTGTATTCGATGATATTTAGTAGTAGTCCTAATAACAACGGATGTTGATCCAATTTGGCGATTAACGATCCCCTACCACTTATATGGTACAGGGATTTGATCTCGGTACCAAGAGAGAGGTAGCGACGCCACTTGGAACTTCCTCTTCTACACCCATTCCAAATGAGACTTGATATACTTTCCACAGTTGAAAAACGTTTTAAACAACGAATAGGAACGGTTTAGGGTCTGGGGATGGGAGAGGCCACACTAGTACAAAAAAAAGGATAGGGCGTTGACCGAGCATACATAAAACGCTCATGATAACTCGCAGTCGTTAAAATTGCTATCAGAAGCCCCAACGAACCAGACGAAATTCCATCATTAGTACTATCAGTTCCCGAATAGTAGGCGATTCAAAGAGTAAAATGTTCAGCTTGGTCCATCAGAGTTAACAGAGGTAGTGAACAGCAAGTAAGAAAGTTTATCAGATCAGACGGTGAAATTATAGAGTAGGGGAAAGTTGATGGTAGGGATNGATTACCATGAGCTTCATCGTCTACTGTACACTTATGGCATTAATTGAGGATAAGCCATGGATGAAGGTGACGTCCATGAAGGATGGTAGAGACATTTGAAAGCGAATTCGGTTCACAGATCTAGGCAAGGTGCTAGTTACCCTGTGTGACCCCAGTTAACCAACCTAGTAGGGATGGAGGGCTCGGGTAACAGGGGTGGGAATATGAAACTCGGATCTATAAACCATGGTCTGTTGGTGACGTCTATAGAATCTAGTTCTGAATAAGTATGAGAGGTAAATCAATTACAAGCAAATACGTAGTAAGAAGTAGCGCCCCTTTGACGATGATGATGTAAGGTCTGAAGGCAGCTATAGACCGCAGTAATGGAATCGAAAATAGACTTATATATTAGTTTTAGTTTTTCCTCTCCCCCTCCCTCTGGCCTGACGTCACTATGTCAGATGGAAAGGGAAACTGATTGGGCACAAAACTCATTTCGAGCCTATAAATATGGGTTTACCGGAAACGTCGAA